GCAGTGTTGGCCACATCTCCTGTCCCCGCCTGCCCAGGCCCAGCCGGCCTTCCCGGGACCCCTCCCACATCTCCCAGCTGTCACGCCGGCCTGGCCCGAGCCCCGACGCCGTCTGGTGCAACCCCTCCAGGGGACGGGAGCAGGCCGCTCAGTGCAGGCACGCGTGTGTGCTCTCACTAACGCTCAGCCCAGTGACACACTCAGCACGGTGGTCAGGCACCGTGGGGCGGTGGCCTCCATGCCGGGGGTGGTGTGAGGGTGGCGGGCAGCCCTAGTCCAGTGCTTGGACCCCTGTGCGGTCTGCTGTTGTACCCTGAAGGCAGCAGATGGGTCCTTGTGCCTTTGGGTCCCCGAGCTCCGGGGTGACAGCCTCCCCAGGCCCTGTGCTGCTGGTGGCCGTGGTGCTCCCCTGTGCCGGGAGAACAGTACTCGAGGTCTGTGGGGTGCAGGCTCCGTCCTGGTCCCATGGGTGACACATGGACCCATCCTCCTCAGTGCTGCAGAGCTGCTCCCCCGTTGAGACATGGCTGGAGGGCTGTCGCTGGCCTCTCCATGCGTGGCTATGCAGGGCAGGCAGCAGAGGACGTGGTGGGCTGGGGGCACCCCTCGTGCAGGGTGCCCTGTGTCCTCCCACCTGGGGTGAGCGCCGTGGGCAGCTCCGAGGGCCAGAGCCAGGCCTCGCCCTGGGCCCGCTGTGCCCGCAAGCACGCGGTAGACCTGGTACCCTGGCTCACGCAGTTCTCCTGGGTGCTTGGCCCTGCCCTGCCCTGCCCCGCCCTGCTCCGCTCCGCTCCTCTTCCTGCCCTCCTGCCAGCTCCCTTGGTGCTGTCCTTTGCCCAGGGCCTGTCCACTTGGATGGACAGCGATGTGCAGTGCTGGGCACTGTCCTGGGGCTGCTGAGTGGACGGCAGCACGCGCCCACTCCAGCTGCTGCGCAGAGCCGAGGTCTGAGGCCTCCCAGGGCTCTGAGCAAGGCCTGGTCCCCAGACACCCTGACAAGTGCTCGGGGAGCTTGCTAGCACACCCAGGGCCTGGTTTCTGTCTCCAACACCACAAAAGAGCCAGGGGGACTTTAGGGCACACTTGGGCCTCCTTCCCGTGCTGCGGAGCAGACCCAGGCTCCGCACCGAGTCCTCTCCGCGTACTGCTGTGTCCCTGCTGCGGAGCTGGTTTCCCTGCCACCCCCTTCCAGAAAACCAAGGCCCCTCCGCGCCCAGGTCCCTGAATTCCTCTCTGACGTCCTTTTCTGTTTTTTTGGTACTGGGGATGGAACTTGGGCCCTTGCACTTGCCAGGCAGGTGGTGGAACCATTGAGCCAAATACCCGGCCCTCTAACATCCTTTTCTGTCTTGAAGCCGCCGTTCTGGACGCAGGTGCCCCCTCTCCCCCTCCCCGGTCCCCACGGCCCTGGCTGTGGATCCTGGGTGCACCCGCTGTGTCTTTGCCCACCAGGGAAGAGCACCACCCTCTTCAGCCGCCACACCAAGGCCCTGGTATGGGGCATGCAGACCCGCGCCGTGCAGGGCATGCTGGACTTCGACTACGTGTGCTCCCGCGACCAGCCCTCGGTGGCCGCCATGGTGTACCCCTTCACGTGAGTGCCAGGCGCTGCTCGACCGGGCCCGCGTCCTCCTAGCCCGGCGGGCCAGGGCCTGACTGTCCCCTGCTGCCCCCCAGGGGGGACCACAAGCAGAAGTTCTACTGGGGACACAAGGAGATCCTGATCCCCGTCTTCAAGAACATGGCGGATGCCATGCAGAAGCACCCTGAGGTGGACGTGCTCATCAACTTTGCCTCCCTGCGTTCCGCCTACGACAGCACCATGGAGACCATGAACTACGCGCAGGTGGGTGCCGTGGGGCTCCTCCATCCCTCCCGTGCCCCCCCTCCCCTCCCCTTCCCTTTCTTTGCTTCCCTCTTTCTTTTTTATTTATTTTCGGTACTGGGGATCGAATTTAGGTCCTTGTGTTTGCAAGGCAGACGGTGGCACCAGTGAGTGAAACCCCCAGCCCGTTGAGACCTTTTTATTTCAAGACAAGGTCTGCTAAGTTGCGGTCTTCAGGGCTCAGCCTCTGGGAGCACTGCGCTCACAGGTGCCGGTGCGTTTACGCCGGGCATCTCTGCCTTTCCACACTGGGATGAGCGTCGCGGACAGGCCTCGGCGGGTGTTGCGTCCTGCAGGCTGGCGCTGCGTCAGGCCATGCGCCTCGGAATGCCACTGGCTCAGCGTTGCAGCCAGGGCAGTGACAGAGACTACTCTGTCCCATGTGTGGCCTCAGTGCCCGGGGTTTGCCAGATGCCTGAGTGCTCTGTTAGTCTGCACCCACCCGTCCTGGGCAGACCCAGGGCTCACTGTCTTTTGGTTTTTGTTTAGTTTTAAGTGAGACAATATCTGAACCCCTAGGCTGTGCTCTTGCCTCAGCCTCCTGAGTGCTGAGATTTCAGGTGTGCGCTGCCACGTCTGCCCTTGGTTTTTAACTAAGACTGAGGTGCACCTTTGAAAACGCTCATTGTTGGGCAGGGGATTTAGTTCAGTGGCACCATGCCTGGCTTGCAAGCACAAGGTCCTGAGTTCGATCCCTTATACCGAAAAAACAAAAGAAAACACTCATTGTTCATCTGTGTGCCGCGGCGCACCTTTTACTTTGTTCTTTTTCTGAGACTGGTCTCACTGTGTTGCCCATACTGCATAGTCTGGCACTTTTGAGCCTGTGTGATCCTCCTGACTCAGCCTCCTGAGGGCTGGGATTAGAGGCCTGTGCCACTGTGCCCGGCTCCGACTCCCATTTTTCTTTGCTGTTCCTGGTTGGTTACTGATAGGTAAAAGCCTCCTGTAGTTTGTGGAACTGATTCTTTTACTGTCTGAACCTGGGTGGGCTTCTCATTCTTGGCTGGAGAGCACCGAGATGTTTCCATCCTTGTTAAGGTGAGAAGGAAAGGAAGCAGGTGCTGTCTGTGCCCCGTGTCCGCTTGCCCAGTGCACCTGGGCTGCACGGGTGGCTGGCGTCACCTGGGCAGGCGCCTCGTGCCCGAGACCTTGTGTCCTCCATACTGCCGCCCGTGCCCGCGCCACCTGGTGGCTGTCTCCCTCCTCCTGTCCCCATGCCAGAGGTGGTATCTCTGAGGCTGGCTGGTCCTGTCTGACAGGCTGTGCACACACATGCGTCACAGAAATGTTTGCACACACCACACTTCCCCTGTGCATCCCTGGTGCCCTGAGGCCGGTCCCGTGAGCTGCAGTGTGTGTGTGTGTGAGTCTGTGTGTGTGTGCAGGGTCTTGCTGGCACACTGGCCTTGAACTGCTGCGGCGTAGGCCAGGGAGTGGGGTAGCTGGATCGAACAGTAGCTCTTAACCTGAGGCTTTTGGGGCTTGCTTTCTTGTTTTTTGGTACTGGGGTTTGATTTCTGGACCTTGCACTTGCAAAGCACTAAAGAGCTAAAGCCCTGGCCCTGTTTGTTTTGTTTTTGAGACAGGGTCTTTGCTATATAGCTCACGCTGGCCTTGAACTCATTGTAGTCCAGGCTAGTTTTGAACTTGCAGGGATCTTCCTGCCTCAGCCTCCTCAATTACAGGGGTTACACCCGGCTGTTTTGAGTTTGTCGAACTTCTGCACTGGTTTCCCCAGTGGCTTGTTAATTAAATCATGTCATTTCCGGCAGCAGCGTGACCTGCCCTGCCCCGTCCCGCCAGTTCTTCCTGTGTCTGCTGAGAGCCCTTGGCTGGGGAAAGGGAGAAGTGCAGGGTGGGTTGGGCGCAGTTCCGAGGGCTGGGGAGGATGAGCGTTTCCTCTCCGACCGTCTGTCTGTACCTCTTTGGAGAAGTGTCCGTTCCTTTTTCTGCGCACTGATCTGTGAGGCTCATCCCTTCCGGTGTCTTCTGTATCCCAGTGCCAGAGTTTCCGCCCACGGCACGGCCATCCTGCGTTCGGTGTGTGGCTCCTTTCCCTGCTGTGCAGAGGCTGAAGAGGGATGAGGTCCTGGGCCGCCGGAGTCCTGCACTGGAGGCTTTGCTGGGCCTATGGCCCCCAGGGTTTCCCTGATGTTTTCTTTCCGTGGTTGGGAAGCTTCAGGTCTTGGGCCCCGGTCTTTCGTGCTTCAGTTGGTTTCTGTGCAGGGAGAGCCAGGGCCGAGCTTCTCCTTCTCCCAGTACCATGTGTACGGGGCCGCCCCCACGTGTGCCTTCGGGCCCTCGGTCCACAATCAGACAGCTCAGTCGTGCGGGCCCAGTTCTGTTCCTCTCCTTCCTGGTCTGAGAGTCTGTTTCACTGCCAGTTCCATACCTGGAACCTCACATGCTAATCAAATGTACCACCGCTGAGCTACATTCCCAGCCCTTTAATTGTTTTTTAAATCAGGACCTAACTGAGTTGCTCAGGTTGGCCTCAAATTTTTGGTGATCCTCCTGCCTCAGCCCCCTGAGTAGCTGGGATTACAGGCGTGCCACCACCACGCTTGGCTGTGAATACGGTTTTTTGTGGAAATGCAGCCATTCATTTACTTAGTGTGTGAGGTGGGGACTCCGCAAGTGGCTGCATAAACAGCCAGCACAGGACTGGGGTGAGGTGGGAGAGGGCACGGCAGGGCAGCAGGAGCTGGCCCCGCCCTGTGGTGTGAGCTCCTCTCGGTCTGGCAGAGGCTGCAGTTTCACAGGGGCCTTGTCCTAGATCCGCACCATTGCCATCATCGCGGAAGGCATCCCTGAGGCCCTCACGCGCAAGCTGATCAAGACGGCAGACCGGAAGGGGGTGACCATCATCGGACCCGCCACCGTGAGTGTCCCTGACGCGGCCGCGCCCCCTTCTCCTGTGCCTCCTCTGGGGAGACGTGGGGCGAGCCTGTTGTCCAGCACCTGTAGGGTTTCAGGAGTGAAGGGAAGTGTTTGGGGGCCTTGGTATTTCTCCGCCTTGCATTTTCCCTTTAACGGTAAACCAGAGAAAGCTGCAGATCTAAGTTTTTTATCTTATTTTTATTTTTTGGTACCGGGGATTGAACTGAGGATCTTGCACTTGAGAGGCAGGCAGTGGCACCACTGAGCTAAATCCCCAGCCCTCAGATTTTATTTTTGGCGTAAAGGCCTTCACTTGAGAAGAAATTGCTCTGAGTATTTATGTTGTTGGAGTTTTTTTGGGTTTTTTTTTGGTACTGGGGATTAAACTCCCAGACCTTGCATTTGCGAGGTAGGTGTGGTGCCACTGAGCAAAATCCCTGGTGTGTATTTATGCTGTTTTTTGAGACATGGTATCCTTATGTAGTCTAGGCTGATCCTAAACTGATGGTGACCCTCCTGCCTCAGCCTTCCATGCACTGGGATTACAGGTGTGCAACTGGTTTGTTTATTTTTCCTAGGTTGTCACATTAAAAATTCCAAGCTAGGTTAGGGCAGCATTACTCAATGCTCAATGTATACATCTTCACTGAATTGTTCAGTTTTTAAAAAGTTTAAAACGAAACAATCCAAGCTAGGATTTCCCTTTTTTTTTTTTTTTTTTTTTGAGATAGGGTCTCAGTGTGCAGCCCAGGCTGGTCTTGAACTCACTGTGTAGACCAGGCAGGCCTCGAATTTGAAGTGATCTTCCTGCCTCAGCCTCTCAGGTGCTGGGATTATGGGCATGAACCCCCCACGTCTGGCTCAAACTAGGAATTGTGAACACACAAGCAAGGGCTCTTTGCTGCCTGGGAGCGAGGGTGGGGCTGAGACCTGAGCTCCTGATGGGAGGCTGCTGTAAGGTCCCTTAGTAGAGGGGAGGAGCTGGCCAGCAGGGGCAGGGCTGGGCAGGAGGAGCCCTCTTGAGCCGACTCCTGCTGCAGGTGGGTGGCATCAAGCCTGGCTGCTTCAAGATCGGAAACACGGGCGGCATGCTGGACAACATCCTGGCCTCCAAGCTGTACCGGCCGGGCAGCGTGGCCTACGTGTCGCGGTCGGGTGGCATGTCCAACGAGCTCAACAACATCATCTCCCGCACTACGGACGGCGTCTTTGAGGGCGTGGCTATCGGTGGAGACAGGTGAGGCTGGGCACACCCGAGACCTGCTGCTGGCCACACCGGGCGCCTAGGAGGCTGCAGAGCGGCACGTAGGGACGCAGCTGGGGGAAACCAGAGGGGCACACGGCCTGGGCCCCTGTGGACCGGCATGGTGCCCACCCATGTCCCAGGGTTGGAGTCGGCATCGCCGCAGAGCCCAGAGGGCTGAGCGTGTCCTCTGTGTAAGGTGCCTGCACTTGACCCAGGCCTGAACCACTGGGCGGGGGTGGGGTGTCACTGTCCTGTTTTCATTTTTGGGTCTTTTTTGAGACAGGGTCTTGTGTATTTTGGGCTGGCCTTGAACTCACGGAGATTCTCCTGCCTCAGCCTCCTGAGTGCTGGGATCACAGGCGTGTGTCACCAGTCCCCACTCAAGTGTTATTTTCTTCAGTGGGAGTGGTGGTTGGGTCCCTAACCCTAATGCCCAGCATTTAGCAAGTCTGGGATAGACACAGCTGCCCGGCTGGGAGAGGAAGGCCCACCTGTCCCTGCCAGAGCCCTGCATTGTTGTCACATGCAGCAGCTCTGGCCCTGTTGTGGCTCTGCCTGGAGCTGGCTTCGCACCTGTGTCCCTTACCTGGTGCTATGGGAGGAAAAACCCTTGTGCCCAGTGTCTTTCAGTAAGCATTTGCTCTTGGGCCAGGTCAGGGAGAGGCTCGGTGCTGTGGCCAACAGATGGATGCTGGCAGGGCTCCCTGTGGGCTGCGTAGGTGTCCCCCGGCTGTGTTCAAAAGGAGAGACTACAGACTCCACCTTTCTGCCAGGCGTGGTGCTGCCACGCCTGAATCCAGCACTGGGGAGGTTGAGGCAGGAGGATCACTGTTTTGAGGCCAGCCTGGGCTCCTTAGGAGACCCTGCCTCAAATACAATTGGACCAATTTGCGGACGTACTGGAAAGCACCACACGCGTGCTTCCGGGGTGTGCCCTGCTGTGGAGGAGCCTGTCTGGCCTCCTCTGCCTGCTCCTTTTGGTCTCCGCCATGCCACGCCACCTCCCTCCCCTCCCGCGCCCCCTAGGTACCCCGGCTCCACCTTCATGGACCATGTGTTGCGGTACCAGGACACTCCAGGCGTCAGGATGATCGTGGTGCTGGGAGAGGTGAGGGAGCTGTGCGGGGCGGGGGCCCCTGTGCCGAGAGAGTAGCAGGGAATCGGAGCACTCGGGATTCACGCAACTCAGACATCGTCCCCGGGACACCATGCTGAGCCTCAGCCCGAGGAGGGTGCTGTTTTCCCCTCCGTCCCTGCCCCTGGACGGGTCTCACTGCCCGGCACAGGAGACCTTGGCTCTGTCCTGGCCACTGTGGCCCAGCCCTTGGCCAGCGCACGTCACAAAGGTTCTTCGTGAGTTTTGTGGGCATCTCCCAGCTCCGTCCCTGGCTTTCCCTGGAGTGGGGCTGGTCCTGAGTCCCCAGTGGCAGGTGTCCAGGCTCCCCGAGGAGACCGCTGTCCCCGTGTCCATGCCAGGCCCGGGTGACCTAGAGTCCTCAGGGCGGCTCTGTGGACCCTGCTCCTGTCTCTCCCCACAGATTGGGGGCACTGAGGAGTACAAGATCTGCCGTGGCATCAAGGAGGGCCGCCTCACCAAGCCCGTGGTCTGCTGGTGCATCGGGACCTGCGCCACCATGTTCTCCTCCGAGGTGCTGCGAAGAGGCCCCACCAGGCATTCACGGAGCCTGACCTCCTGTGCCCCATGGCTCTGCCTTTCTCCTTCCTGTCTGGGAGCAGAGGCGGCCGCTCCCTGGGTTCTGATACCGTACCCTTCCTCCGGGCCCCACAGCTCCTCTAAGGAACAGGGGATACTGAGAGTAGAAAGTGCTGCAGTGGAGCCAGCCTGGGGTGCACACACACACACACACCTGTCCTCTGGGCATTTGGGAGGCTGAGGCAGGAGGATCACATGATCAGGCCCAGCCCAAGCAATTTAATGACTTAGCCAGACCTTGCCTCAGAATTTAAAAAGTACTTTGCCGGGCCTGGTGGCGCACACCTGTAATCCCAGCATTCAGGAGGCTGAGGCAGGAGGATCACTGTGAGACCAGCCTGGGCTACATAGTGAGTTACAGGTCAGTCTCAACTGTATAGTGGGACCTGTCTCAAACAAACAAACAAAAATGTAATTGGATGAGGTTGAGTAAATAACTCAGACCTGACTCTGTTCACTCCCCACACCCCAGCCTCGGTCAGGGCTCCTGTGTTTGCTCAGGTTTGCCCAATACCCCCCTCAGTAAAGACAGGTACTGCCTTTTTTTTTTTTTTTTTTTTTTTTGTAACCCCAGGGTCTTTGCACTGACCTACATCCCTGGACGATTTTTCCCTGGAGATAAGGTCTTACCCTATTGCCTAGGGTGGCCTAGAGCTCTAGGCACCCTCCTGTCTCAGCCGAATGCCAGGATAACAGGCATGTCCCACCTGTTGGTCCTCGGCCACCAGGCTTTGCGCTGGGCTGTCGTGCCCTCGCTGTGCGATTGTGACAAGTGGCCTCCCAAGCACCTGCCTCGGTTTCCCCAGACCCAGCAGAGGAGGGGTTTGCGTGGGGCACCCTGGGACTGGCTGTCCTTGCCCACAGGTCCAGTTTGGCCACGCCGGGGCCTGCGCCAACCAGGCATCGGAAACCGCGGTCGCCAAGAACCAGGCCTTAAAGGAGGCGGGTGCATTCGTGCCGCGCAGCTTTGACGAGCTGGGCGAGGTCATCCAGTGAGTGCCTGGTCGGCGCCGCCCTGGCTCCTGGGTCTCTGGCACGGGCTGGTGCCACGCGTGCGACCGCTGCTCTGCCTCTCCAGGTCGGTGTATGAGGACCTCGTGGCCAGAGGCGCCATCGAGCCGGCACAGGAGGTGCCGCCGCCCACGGTACCCATGGACTACTCCTGGGCCAGGGTAGGTGGCGGCCCGGTACAGCTCACCTGCGCAGAGCAGGCCCAGTGGGGCCCGGCGGGTGGGACAGGGCCGGGACAGGCAGGGTCCTGGGCCGCTTCGGTGGAGGGTTTCAGGCCGACGTGCGGGGGCCTCTGCCTGACAGGCCATGGGCCTCAGAGAAGAGCTGATCGGTAGCCATCGTCCTTGTCCTGCAAGGGTTTGGGGAACTGGGGTTAAGCTGTGGGGCTATGGCGCCCCATCATCCCAGCACTCGGGAGGCCAAGGCAGAGGGTCAGAGTTTGGGGTCATCCAGGGCAACTTTGCATGACTGTCTCACACACACAAAAATCAAAGCCCAAAGACCCAGTGAGCAATTAGAAGTGAAGGAAGTGGCCTCACGAGAAACTGGTTCGTCACACTTAGTGTAAAAGGGACTGAAATAAAACATCCGCTGGTGGGAGAGTGACTCACACGCGTTCCCAGATGTCAGTGACGCGCACAAGTTGCGTGGCTGGGCATTCTGTGTGCAGACTGCTGCCTCTCAGAAAGGCTCTCGTGACACAAAGGAATGTTTTCAGAATTTTTTTTTTTTTTTTTTTTTTGGTACTGGGGATCAAACTCGGGACCTTGTAAACTTTCAAGGCAGGTATGGTGCCACTCAGCTAAATCCCCAGGCTCCAGAACTTTTTGTTTTTTGAGGCAGAATCTTGCCATGTAGTTCAGGCTAGCCTTGAAGATACTACGTAGCCCAGACTGACTGAATTTGGGAGGGATCCTCCTGCTTCAGCCTCCTGAGTGCTGGGATTATAGGCATGTACCTCCACACCCGACTCCCAGAATTCTTACCAGTTGATATTGTCAGTGGAATTATCAGTAGATCATGGGGGGTTTTGTTTGCTCTTTGGTAACCAAGTGGCACCACGGACATGGTACTTCTGGTCTGTACTTCCTTCTCTGGAGAAGCCGGGCTGGGGTCTGCCAGTGTTCCGGGCGTGCTGTGGTCCCCGCAGCCCTGACCTGTGTCTGCGCAGGAGCTGGGTCTCATCCGCAAGCCCGCGTCGTTCATGACCAGCATCTGTGACGAGCGTGGCCAGGAGCTCATCTACGCAGGCATGCCCATCACTGAGGTCTTCCGGGAGGAGCTGGGCATCGGCGGTGTCCTCGGCCTGCTCTGGTTCCAGAGAAGGTGGGCTGGGCACCAGGGACCCCCCGGCTCTGGGGGGTGGCGGGGCCGCTGGACCTGAGAGGAGAGCAGTGACCTCCGGGGTCTGGGGTGGCCCGTCCCCAGGCCTTTAAGGCAGCAACGGAGTAAACTTGGTGTCGCAGCTCCTGGGACACGGGAGCTTGGAAAGCGGTGCAGCTTTGCTCTGCCAATCCGAGTGTGGGCGCCGCCCGCGGCTGTCCGGGCTGCACTGGCAGCAGACGGCCCTCCACCCCAG